TGCTTCTAAAACGCGAACCTTGTTTTTGTTTTACTTCCATATGCTTGATAAGTCTAGGTGTTAAAATTTGAATGATGCTGGGCCTTTTCAGAACTAAAAAATGATGTCGATGGGCTGTTGCTATTGTTCGTGGAAATGAAGAGCTTGTTTATATGAACGAGGACATGCTCTAAATTCAGGTGATATGCCCTTTTCTTGGTTTCTTTTCTGTCCAATCAATTCAGGTGATATGCCCTTTTCTTGGTTTCTTTTCTGTCCAATCTATGTTTACTTTATACTGGCTCTTTTTATAAGAAAGGATTTCAATTGTTTCTTTTTGTCATCTGCAGAAGAAAATGTTGATGGTGAACTATTGAATGATGGACTATTGGCAACTATAAAGAGGGTACATTTTGTAGTGTTTGCATTTTGTTCATCTTAAGTTAGTTATAGATGCAATTGTATGAAATAGTGAGGTTATTCTTAGTGATGACATAACAATTTGTTAAAGACGAGATATGACATGTACACTTTCTTACTATAATTCAATTTAATTTTTCAAATGGTGCATTTTAATGACCAAACTCTCATGAACGAAATTGGTCATATAAAATGATTTATTTTGTCGGCTTATGTGTTTCCGCAACCAATTTTTATGGTTTTGTAACGCTTTCATAATTAAAATAATTAGTTGCAAATATTGACATGATTGGTTGGCATATGTATTTTTTACAACCAAATTTTAAGGTTGACTTATAATTCTATAACTAAAACATTTGGTTGTCAAAATGGTTTAATTGGTTGAGTTACATGTTTTTCACGACCAATCTCAAGGTTGTTTTACATTTTTATGACAAAAATATTTACTCGTTTAAAATGATATAATTGGTCGGCATATGTATTTTTCACGACCAAATTTTATAGTTGTATTAAAATTTTATAACCAAAATTATTGGTTGTCATAATGATATTATCGGTTACTAATAGTCACACAAAATGGTTGTCATTAGTATTTATGGCGACCAATCAATTACATTTCGCAACCAATAGTATGGACTATGACAACCAAATTTAAATGGTCACAAAAAACTAAGATTTTTAGCATTGGCAGAATTGGTTGCGATAGCCTGAATTTTCGCAACCAATCATTATTTTGGTTGCATTAGGAATTCGTAACGCGGCTATAGCGACCAAATCTGCTACCAAATATATTTGGTTGCGAAAATGTATTGATAACCATTTTTTGTCTTTTAGAGACCATATATTTTGGTTGCAAAAAGCCATTTTTCTTGTAGTGCCATGTGTTGAATCAGTCCATATCGAAGCTTCTATCAGCCTCCGTACGTACAAGCTTCAGCTAGCTATCGCCTGTATGATGGCTACCCCGTCTTTCCCCTCACTATAGCTCTCTACTTCTTGTCCCGTGTCCTTGCTCCCGATGCTCTCATGCCTCGTCGCCTAGCCGTTGGTCTTGGCCCACCAGAAGCCTCGTTATCTACCTCTTTCACTGTCTACTGTGGATCTTGAATTACTACACTCTTAGCTTCCTCGAGAGAAGCTTTAGCCTCTCCCACTTCTCTAGTTATACCATAGCATACTTTCCTGTTAAGCTTCTTCAACCCTAATTTAACTAGATGTAACTTGTTGTAGAAGACATAATGAGGATACCCCCTGAACGACTTCTTCCAGGCAGCCTTAATAATATCCAGGTACTTAAAGTTCGCCTGCTAAAATACAAAATATGTGAATGGCTTTGGCAATGTATTCAACTTTAAAAAAATGGGGGGTTGTATTAGCTGTATAGTCGCAGGAAACAACTCAATCCAAGCTTCATTTACAAGAATTTTCTCAATTCTTCAAGCTATTGGGTTTCCAGCTTTCTGCTTGTTCCACCATGTAAACCAAGAACCAACAACCTTAATTATAATCCATAGCTTCCATGTCCCTCAGCCAGCCTCTAAAATCTTACATGCTTTGAGTAATAATTTGAGAATTGGAAGGTTGATTCATCTCACCTATCGCATTGAAATCACTCATGATAACCAATTAACCATAGACATGGTACTCTCCTTTAGTTGCACCAGCTCTTCATACAAAGCCTTTTGCTACACCTCCTTATTAGGGATGTAGACGAATATGATTATGAAAAGAGTCTGCTTAGCAACTATAATCGTGCTCCATCGGCGACGACAGCCATTGTTCACTTAGCGAGCGCTCAGAGAAATTTAGTGAGAGAGGACTGATACTTGAAATTGTTGTCTTTCTTATTCGAATATTCTGATTTGTTAACGTTGGTATTTTTAGTGGTATTAGCCATTTAAATATATTTTGCACAGTTAACTTAGATTAATTATACTTTTCACATGATAATCCACTTTGATATATTTTTGGAACAAAAAATAAAATTGAGACATTATATTTATTTCTAGTCTATACTACAGTGGTAATGCTTGGTATTACATAAGATTATACCACGGGGTATGGAAGTGTACCATGGTGGTATGAACATACCATAGTACGTATGATGGTTGAACACATGATATTATAAATATACGAACTGTCATTTACCACATTCATCATTCTGTACCATCATTTTACCGAGAAATTTGTAGACGCAAGAGATCACGAAGAACTCATTCCTTCTTTATAAAAATTTCAAAGTTCGAGTTAAAAGCATTAAAGGTGGTACCTAGTGGTATGATATTTTTTTCTCAAAATATTTAAAAATGTATCTCATTTGTAGATCACAACATACTTGTTCCATTTGTGCAAAAAAAAAAATTGAAATATAAGTCAAAACAAAGAAAATACGAGTCGATTGAGAAAACTAAAAAAATAATAAGCTATTAATTCTCATATCTTAAATCTATACTTTTCTGACCCCACTCAAAACTAAAAACTCAGATCTAGTATTGCAAATGTGCATAACCAATCCTATACCCTTTGGCTTTGAACTGTGTTTGTATATGCTAGTTTGGCTCATGCTCGTGCAATAAATTTTTTTTTTTAGAAAAGAAAGAGATCTTTATTGAAGTGAAGAGGCGAAATAGGACTAATGAAAATCCAGGTCTGACTTTTCCTTTTGGCATACTATATTACATTAGTCTCGATATGCTTAAAAGTACCTTTTTACCTTACTCGGGCCTGTGTAGTGGGCGGGCCGGGTAGACAAGGTGTGCTAGAAATATTATATATAGTATATCTGCTACATGGAATAGGGCTGGCATTTCGGTTTGCGGTTAGCGGGTAAACGCCGGTTTTAACCGAAAACCGCCGGTTACCACCTAACCGAAAACCGACCGGTTACTTTGACGGTTGGTGGTCGGATGGGAAAAGGAAGGGGTCGGTTGACCGAGTAACCGACGGTAATTAATCGTGATTATCCGACTAACCGGGCCAACCGAGACCCACCTTCACCTTCCCCAAAATATGTCCAGATTCATCCCCATTCCCAAATCTTAAGTAAAAAAAATCCCAAATACAGGAAGAAGAAGAAGAAGAAGCAGATCTACAGTGAGGAGGGCCGCCATTCATCATCGTAATCACAGCCACCAGCACCCCACGACCCGCCATCGTTGAAATCATCCCGGCCCCTTCCGGGAGGAGGGCCGCTGGAGCGGCCGTAACTGGAGAACCCGGGAGGAGGGCTTTGCGGAGACTAGGGAAGCTCTGGGCCGCCGCAGCAGTCTCGTCCGTCGCCGCCGCCGCAGCAGGCTCATCCGTCGCCGCCGCACCGGCCTCATCTTCTGGGTAAGATGAGGGAGAGTGAGAAAGAGCAGAGAGAGGGAGAGAGAGAGAGAGGGGTTAGGAGATAATCGAGGGAGGGAGGCGATTTTCCTTTCTCTGGAAAGGAAGAAGATAATCGAGAGAGAGTAGGGAGAGCAAGGGTTTCTCTCTTGAAAGGAAGAAGAGGAATAAAGAAGAAAGGAGAAGAAAGGAAGAAGAAGAATCGAGAAGTGAGTAAGTGGTCCAGATTTTTTGTTTCTTTTAAAAGTTTTTTTTATTTTTTTTAGGAAAGGTATTTTCCGGTTGGCCGGCTAACCGAGCATTAAATCGAAACCGACCGGTCGGTTGGCCGGCTAAACGTGACACTCTCACGGTCGGTGGTCGGCAGCTCTAGGGGGTGGTTCGGTTTAACCGATAACCATGTTTTCGGTTAAACCGAAACCAACCGGTTGACATCCCTAACATGGAATAGAGTTGACCGAATGAGTAAGGCTTCCGGGTAGGGATGGCAATTACCCACCCATGGGTAATTATACCAAACCCAAGTAGACCTATTGATAATGGGTTGAGTATGGGTGAAGTGCATATAGGTTTGGGGGTTTTTAGATGGGTTTGGGTAAGGTATGAATATTGTTTCCATAATCTAAATGGGTATGGGTTGGATATGGATATTCATTTACTTGAGTGTGTTTTAACTACACATACAAAAATTGGACCTATTTGTAAAATTTGAAAAATTTAGGTACCACATAACACAAACTGAGTAATAAAATTGGTGTTTCGTCTCTAAATTAATATAAGTATAATTGAAATTTTAATTTAATTTAGACCATATTCCAACATAATTTGGAAATTCAACTCAATTTACTTATAAAATTATATTTTTAATAATTTTAACATGATACATTTCAACGGTAGCAATTCATTTTGACCATGAATCAACAACAGAGAGATTTCCTATTTCCTATGCGTTTGGATCTGTTAAGTCTTTAAGAAAAGAATATAAAATAGCAGTCAATGCAAGCCCATGCTGAAACAATTAGAGACTTCTAAGGATAAAGATAACATACACAAACATCTCCGACAATATATATATATATATGATTCTTCCATATGCTCAAGAGTCTCTCATCACATCCCAACTAACTACAATTCCCAAAATCACATGAGATACACTAATAAATAAGTCTCCACCTCCAAGCAGAGCCAGTTGAAGCCATCCTCGACATATTACAGCATCGTCATCTCTCCTTCGAATGATATATATATTTTTATATGTACACACATAACACAAACTTCTGTTCTGTGACTCAGAAACAACCAAAACAGAGGCGAAATGTTTGGCCAACTTTTGAAAATGGCCCAATCAGGCAATCACCATCCATTTTTTTTTCTCGGCTCGCTAACCCATGTTTCGCGCATGAAGGAGAGAGAGAGAGAGAGAGAGCGCGGTTGTTAGAGGTCTGTCAGGCTGCGGATACCAGAAAGTTGGCTTTATCTGTATACATCAACAAGGTTATTTTATTGGCTTTATTTACTTCACCGTCTGATGCTGCTAAGACTGAGCCATGGGTAAAGCGTTAGCTGCTGCTGCTGGAGAATTTGCATGGCCGTTTCTCTGAGATTTGCCAGTCGCCTTCTTGCTCTCCGGTTTGAACCCCGACTGCCTCACCTTCACTCCTCGTATCAACTGAAACACGAAAGCATTACAATACCACGGTTTAGTAAATCCATTGCCTTGTATACAACTGATGTCAGGAACTGAATCGCGGTTACTGTGGTCGAACTACTACACGTACGTATTTGCCACATTTTATGTCGGAGTAGATGACTATGAAATCGCCTTCCTGCAGTCCGTTGGCTCTCACGAAATCTCCTGAAAGTAGCGGTAGATACGAATGTATTAATCACCAGTTGTTCATCCTATATGGTTGATGCTATGGTGCAGATGCAAAATGATCAGAGAATGCAAAGAAGTACTAGCAGCCCCCGGCACCCACCTGTGTTTTCAAGGAGATACATCCTGCTTTTGTTGTTGGGCCAGAATCTGAGACTCCACAAAGGGTAAAAAAAAACAGAAGTAGGCATAATTAAGCCATAGGGTTTAGATTAGTTTAGTTTTGCGAGAGCAAGTAACATAAGCAACCTAAACCAAAGAAATCCGGGGGAATGCTTTCGACACTCCGTAATACCTGTAACGCATGTTCCATACTCGAGAAGTGACGATGTCTTCCATGGCGATCGAGATTCCGTCCCTTGCCTCCAGTTCAGGCAGATGGGTCTCAGCTTCCTTCTGCATTATCGCATCCACATTACACATGCAGTAAATCACAACATTAGGGTTCAAAAAAAAAAAAAAAATACTAAACGAACGAGTTATCCAATTAAATTGAACGATCATGTTTGATCCATACATATATTTTACCTTGGGTAAAACTATCCTGCCAAGGTTGCCAACATCACTCTGCTTCAGCACCTTCTGCAACAGAAACCTCAAGTTCTTCTCTGGCTTCCATCCCTAATCACAACCGAAGCAAATAAAACGCAAACAAGAATCACAATCCTTTCTTCTGGCAACCATGATTATTACATCATAATAATTTAAGCCCTAGAAAATAGAAAAAAAAGTTGCACATATTGTATTAATCTACGGGACTAAATTCAATTTCCAATTGTAACGCCACCACGAAGAACCAACCCATAACCCCTCACCGGGGCAATTCATCAAACACATCATCGGCACACACAAACCTGTCGTTTCTCAGACGCCCCGCCACCCTGCCTCTGTGTATTCTGATTCTGCATGCCCGGCCGATCCGCGTTTTGCACCGCCGATCCATCCGCCGCCGGAGCTGGGCCAGATGCCACCGCCACGAGGCCACTGCTGCCTTGGTGCGCCGGTGGCCAGTAGACCAAATTCCCCTGCTGCTGCTGCTGCTGCTGCGATGTTGGGCCCACCGGATGCTCAACGAAGCCGCCGTGGTGCTGGCCTCCACCGGCGGCCGCTTGATGCTGACTCTGGTGATGATGATGATGATTGCGGTGGTGGTGCGACAGAAACCTCCTCTGCCTTGCCATCCTCTTCTTCCTCGCCTCCTTCGTAGCAGAAGAACCCATCCTCACCAGGGTAGTATTACTATTATCTCCTCCTCCCAGTCCCATCCCGGCTGGAAGATACGGGTACCCGGGAAACGCATGCATCTGCCCCGACCCGAGTTGACTCTCCGCAGCCGGAAACATAGCGAATTGGGAACCCGGCCACGACGGAGCCGGCTCAATTACCTGATTATAATCAGCAGCCGCGGGGTAATTGCCGAAATTCGGACCCGTCCGCCTTGCAAACGGGTCGGCCACGCCGTACCCGATATTCGGTGGATACCCGACCGAGACTCCTCCTGCAGCCAGATCCGGATACTGAGGTACTGGAGGCCCAACCCATGGGCCCTGAATTGGGTTCGGATCTGGGCCGGGTTCTTGAACTAACTGGTACACCTGCTGGTTGGTGTAACTCGGGGGTGGAGGTACGGGATCCGAACTTGCGGACACGTCAGCAGCGGCGGTGGTGGTGGTGGTGCGGCGGTGGAGGTGATTGGTCTGCACCCACTCGAGCACCAGCTTGACGAGCTGCTTCATGGCTTCCCTCCCACCGCCCAAGCGCCTGGCGGCGGAGTCGATGGTCGATTTCTTGATCTTCACCCTCCTCAGGTCTTCCGCCGACACGTTCTCCTTGTTGTTCTTGAGCCACTCCAGAAACACCGACCCCAAGTCCTCCTCCTCCTCCGCTCCCTGGAGTAACTGCGTGGCGGTGGTGGTGGTGGTGGTCTCGATGCCGTTGTTGTTGGTCGGATTATCGTTATCCGTCATCATCATCGTCGTCATCATTTGTTCATCATGATCAGGATGCTGGGGTTGGAGATCGGCGGGGAGGAGGAGGTTTTGGTGGTCCCCTTGGAAGATGGAGGAGGGATCGAAGAAATCGTTGGTGTCGAGGAGATCCATGTACCCCAACTCATCCATCACGTCCATGCAACAGTCCACTCCTTGCTCCGACGGAGGAGCGTGATGAGCCACCTCCATCGAGGCGGTGGAGGACAGAGCTCCACCACCGGAAGGAGTATCGACCTGCAGATCGGTGTTGTTGTTGTTGTTGTTGAGATGGTGGTAGTCATAGCAGCAGTTGCTATCGTTGTTGTTGTCGTTGTTGTTGCTGGCCATCTCGATCTCGATCTGGTGGTTCACAACTTGGTGGTCCTTGTTGTTGTAGTAGCGCCGGCGGTTGTCGTCGTCGTCGTGGTCTGCGTCGGACCTCAAGGCGGCCCAGGACGCCGCGGAGGAGGAGGCGGAGGATGTGGAGGAGCAGCTCATGGTGGCGGTGGTCTTGAGCGGGGCCGGAGTGGAGGAAGACGACGAGGAGGAGGACATGCAAGGGAAGTCCGGTAGGAGCGGTGGGAAGTCGTCGGCGCCGGTGTAGAAAATGGAGTCGTCGAGGAGAGCGGCGGCCTGGGCGGCCTCAGGATCCCAGATCTGATGGGTTTCTTGTTGTTGTTGGTGATGGATGAGAGGATGATCATCATCTTCTTCCCCATGCAGGCTTGATGAATAGTGCCTCATATCGGTTCCCCAAAGAGAAACACGAACCAGAAAAGGGGAGCAGAATGCAAATAATTAACAAGGAAATAGAAGGGAAAAAAAGGGACAAGAAATGGCAAGTTGGGTTGAGATAAGTTTGATAGATAGATAGATAGATAGATAGTTGTGGTAGTGGACTAGTGGTGAAGATATATATAGAGAAAATAGATATTGTTGTACGGAGAGAAAATCAGAGATCAGTCATGGAATGAAGCAACAAAAACCATCTGGGAAGGGTTTGTGTACTCTCCGGCCGACCGCACAAATTAGGTTTAGGTATGGAGAGAGAGAGAGAGATAACATTACCAAAACCCAACAGAAAGCGACCTCGCTCGCAAACCCTTTTTTTTTTTCTCTTCTTTTTCTTTCCAGCTGATAGCTAGCTAGCAGACGTTAAACAAAACGCTCCCTTCTATCTTCCTCCGCTGGCAGAAACCCTAGAGGAAAACCCAGAGAGCGGAGGCTTGAGGAAATTGGAGTGTGTTGGAGGAAGGAAGATGATTGGGAGAAACCCCCACATGCGCAACTGCAAAGAGACTCTTGGTTTTGTTTTTCTCTCTCTCTTTTTTGCGAGCGCGTAAGCTAGTTAGCTAAGCTAGGAGGGGAAGGCGTTGTTTCTGGCATCTTCCAGCAGGTCGGAAATTAATATTGTCTCAGCAGGATCGTCGATCGGTATTTTGCTTTTGGACTTTCCCCCCTCCGCTCTTCAATATCCCACCCCCCGCTGGGTTCCAAAAAACGGTGTTTTGGGTGTTTGTGAAGGTTCAATTCACTGCGCCAGGAAAGGCGAGAGCAAATTAAAACGAGACAGAGAGAGAGAGAGAGAGAGAGAGGAAGGAGGAGGAGGAGAAGAAGACGAGGAGGGTTTGTTGTAGAGAGAGAGAGAGAGAGAAAGGATATTGATGATGTAGAGGGGAAGATGGGACGAAGGAAGATAGAAAAAGGGAGACGACGAATGAGGAGAGAAAAGGGAAGGCCAGCAGCTCGTGGGAGAGGAAGAGGAAGAGAGAGTGTGAACTGTGGGTGGTTGGGATTACGTGCCTTCCGCCATTCGTTCCATCCTCACTGGTGCAACTTAGCGGCAAGCTAGCACCTCTCTTCTCTTTCCCTTTCTCCTTTAACTTAAAAATGGTTTCCTTGCTATTTCTTTCCATTTTTTCAAACTCAATTAATTTGAAGAAGCTCTGCTCATTTTGTATTTTATTTTATCTGCCCTATCCATTCACCTTTCAATAATGGAAATAATAGTTAAATTAATTAACTTGCTCTCTGCTGCAGCAACTGCTTAGCGGTGGTGCCTCTTTTCTCACACGATCAGCTGCACCGATCGACCTAATGTGTGCAAGTGCAAGGGGGAAGAGATTCCAGATCAGAGCTTATATCAATTAATAACATCTGTCTTTTTATGATTTGTTCTAAATTGCAAGTCAGTTGTACTTAGAGTCTGCCTGGTAAATCTTCTCCATTGATCAATCGAAACACAAAGTTTTTTAGGTTAACTCTAAAAAAAAAAAAAAAAAGTTCTTTTTCTCCAAATACACAAAATTAAAAAAATTCCTAAACTATCCTACTTATAAAAAAAATTCCCAAAGACCTAAGTTTGGAGTGGTTCGAGTTTGAGGAACTCGAACTACTAACTAGTTCGAGTGTAAAGGACTCGATCTAAACGTAGATCGATGATGTAAGTCTCGAACCATGTGGGGCTGAAGTGGTTCGAGTTTGGTGAACTCGAACTACTCCTTTGAAATTTCCAACAACCTTAACTTTGTGCTCGATTATCCGATCGCAGCAAAATGTTTTTCATTTCGCATAACTTTTTGAGGACTACAACTTTTATCATAAAATATTTTCAGAGTATATGTGGAAATGTGAAAATTAAAGGTAAAATTATTCCCATTTATATTAAAAAAAAACTTCCTATTTTGAAAATTTCTTCCTGCTAAGTGTTTTAGTACTCAAAAAATTATGCAAAGTGAAAAAAAACTTTGCAACGTTCGGATTGCGGAGCACAAAGTTATGATCCTCTAAAGTTTGACAAAATCCAAAATTTGCTATTTACGGGTAGCAAATGACGTTTTCTCAGAAGATAGTCATCCAAAAAATTGCTCGTTTGGCAAAAGATTGCTCGTGGCGGAAAGTTCCTATAAATAAAAAAAATTCACGTGCCTTCGCCACGAGAAAAAGTTATTTGCTTCCACTAAACGAGCAATTTTTCGATTTGTCAAACTTTGGAGAATCGTAACTTTGTGCTCCGCAATCCGAACGTCGCAAAGTTTTTTTTTTATTTTGTATAATTTTTTTGTACAACATTTACTAGGAAGAAACTTTGAAAATAGGAATATTTTTTAATATAAGGGGTTTTGGGAATAACTTTACCTTTAAATTTCACATTATATATTCTGAAAATATTTATATGATAAAAGTTGTAGTCCTCAAAAAGTTATGCGAAATGAAAAAAAAACTTTGCAACGATCGGATAACCGAGCACAAATTTAAGGTTGTTGAAAATTTCAAAGGAGTAGTTCGAGTTCACCAAACTCGAACCACTTCAGCCCCACATCAGGTTCGAGACTTACATTGTCGATCTACGTTTAGATATAGCCCCTTACACTCGAACCAGTTAGTAGTTTGAGTTTCTCAAACTCGAACCACTCCAAACTTAGGTATTTTGGGGGAAAAATTTATAATTGCGGTAGTTTAGAATTTCTTTTAAATTTTATATGTATTTAGGGAATTTTCCCAAAAAAAAGTCGATAATCTTTCTACAAATGGCTCATGGAAGGGACGAGCTAGAATACTAATTATTTTATAGGAGTTAGTATCATGCTAGCTTCTTTATTCACTATTCATTGATTTTAAGGTGAATCTAAGCGTTGTGAGAGTAGGGAGAAATTTGTTTGGGATCCAGGAAATTATTTAAACTTTGAAATTTCTCTCCTCTCTAAAAAAATCACTACTACTCATCAAATCAGTAGTGGTTTATAAATGATATTGTAGTGATTTTATTATTGCTTGTGATTTTTTTACTATCTTGATTTTATTACTAATAATTTCATTCACGAATTTTAGTAAGAATAAGTGATCATACCTGAAATGGTGTTATATCTTTCTTATCCTTATTTCTTGGATGTTTACTTGCGATTAGAGCATTCATGGAACGTTTATAACTTGATTTGACCTACAAATGCAAATTCTTGTTGGTCATGTAGTTTTTCAGTGTCATTTTAGGTTTTAAGTGTTTTTGTCGAAGAATCCGGGCTCAAGTGTAGGGAAAATGTGCAAAGAGGATCAAAACTAAAGATCACGATTGAGGCGAATGTTTGCGGTCACAATCTCTGACCGCTGAAGCCATGAACTCTGATAGTCGAGGCCGCAAACTTGGAGAAGCTAAAGACAGAGTACAAAAAGTTCCACGGTCTATCTCGTGGGATCTCTTGTCCAAGACCGCAAGAAACATCACGACCATGACTTTAAGTTCACGAACTCGAAATCTAGGTCGTGGTCTCTCCACTTGAGCAGTTGGCGTTGTTGTTTCAACTTCGCGGCCTGGAGAAGAAGTTCCCAACCGCGATCTTCCATGAAGAGGCCAGGAATTCATCCGTCCCACCGACCTTATATATAGAGGGATGTTCCCCTCATTCCAGCAAACTTTGGAGTTGCAAAAATCCTGTAGAGACGAAGTATAGAGAGATGATGCTACTTTGGAGAGGAATGTGAGAAGAAGGAGAGAAGGAAGAGCATGGATGAGGATTCTCCGCACAAGAAGGAGCCTCTTATTCATGTTTTCTTCCCTTCTTTATATGTCTTTCCTCCCCCCTTTCATGGAGTAGTTTCCTAAGATACTTGGGGCTTCGTCCCCCAAACCCTAACTAGGGTATGATGTGTAATTGAATGGGTATTGTGAATTTATGGTTAATATTAGCTTACATAGAGTTCTTAATGCCTCTTCAGAAGTTTGGGTGTTTGATTACATGTATGATATGTTATAACATGTGTTAATATAGGTTATGACTTGATTGTATGTGAATGATTGTCCTTAGCTTGGTTAGTTGATCTTGATTCCTAGTTGGTGGACGAGGTGACCATCCTCTGAAAACTAGAAGATCACCTAGGAATGCTCGAGACTCCCGTGCATGACCATCGACCCGAGGACCTTGTGTGTGGACGGGTAGAACTCAGTTTGAGGAGATAGGGTGATATCCCTTCTGAACGCAGTTGTGTTGACATTGGGTCGGCGGATGTTGCTAGGAAGGGAATTGGTGGCTTGACAATTGCACCGGTTTACAGTTTAGTGATCTCCGCACCTCAATTAACATAAATGCTTTACTTGTTGATTGCATGTCATGCTTGATGTTATTGTACGGGTGGCTGACCCCAAGTATCAATCTCTCCATTCTTGTTTCAATCATTAAACAATTCTTTAGTACTTTCCCTATATTGCACCCGGTTAAGGTTTATACTTGGGCCTTAATCGGGATTTTTGTTGTGATATTCGGGACGAGTCAAGTTTTTTGGTGTCGTTGCAAAAGCTTGGTGCAATGCGTGTCAATGCCGTAAAAGGAGACCAATAAATGACAATTCATAAATCTAAAGAGAGAATAAAGAGCACCTTCGAGAATTCTTGTTCTTATGTGTTGTTTGAGAATCCCCCGGTGCACATCTTGAATGTTCGAGCTAAAGTAGTAAGTGTGGTACTCACCCGGGAGTTTGTTCTTGCACACTAAGATGATAGTAAAGTTCATTCATCTCCGTCTACTCTTCTTTATGCAATTAATAACTAGAGTGCATTCCCTATTTTTTTGTCTATCATGTTGCATTGGTTTGAGTAGGTTTGCTTGTCTCCAAGCAAACGCCTAAGTGTGGGGGAGTTTGATAACACCTAAATTGGTGTTATTTACCCTTTATATTAAGGTTCATTTCGTGCAAATTCATGTGCATAATTGTTTGAACAGTGTCAATTGCATCCTTATTTCGTTCCCATT